GTACCATCACTATTTTACCATCATTACCAACTGGCCCTGGGAAGAGAGAACGACAGTGTCAGGTGGAACTGACAGCACTGACTGGGTGTACCATGTTTGAGACGTCATCTTTTATGGAAGATTATTCTGGAACATCTAGAGCACTTAATATGTTGTAACATTGTAGTGATGGTTTTAACCTGTTTTTATGTGTTGGCTTACGCCTATCTGTGAGCCGCCCTGAGCCCGCGTTGCGGGGAGGGCGGGCTATAAATTGAAATTATAAATAAATAAATAAATAAAATAACATGCATCATCAAATCACAAAATAACATGCATCATCAAATCATCAAAATAACATGCATCATCAAAATAACATGCATCATCAAATCATAAAATAACATGCATCATCAAATCACATGACTCTACTGTCAGGTCCATATAAATGCTATTACTAATATCATGGAGAGTGATCACCTTTTTCTGGAGTAAGAAAAACTCTTCCTGGATCCACCTTTCCTGGGTCCATGTAGTCCAGTATCTTCTTCCCAACAGTAGCCAACCTCTGGGAAGTACACAAGCCAAGACGTAAGAGTTTTGCTTCTGTGATTTTGTCTAATCTTTTTCAAAGCTTGTGGAGTTGATTATGCATTGCATGAAAAATATACGTTCTTTTTGTCTGCTTAGAAACCCTACTGTCAAGCAATGCAATTGGATGATCTCGTTAGTGTTGGGAGACAGCCAACCATTTCTTCTATCTCCTCCCACCATGCCATGCATAGCTTTAAAAATCTCTGCTTGGCAAGGCTTCAGTACCTTTAAATGCTGCATGGTGTAATAATCAATCGGGGAGGGCGGGCTATAAATTGAAATTATAAATAAATAAATAAATAAAATAACATGCATCATCAAATCACAAAATAACATGCATCATCAAATCATCAAAATAACATGCATCATCAAAATAACATGCATCATCAAATCATAAAATAACATGCATCATCAAATCACATGACTCTACTGTCAGGTCCATATAAATGCTATTACTAATATCATGGAGAGTGATCACCTTTTTCTGGAGTAAGAAAAACTCTTCCTGGATCCACCTTTTTTGGGTCCATGTAGTCCAGCATCTTCTTCCCAACAGTAGCCAACCTCTGGGAACTACACAAGCCAAGACGTAAGAGTTATGCTTCTGTGATTTTGTCTAATCTTTTTTTTAAAAAAAAAACAATTTTATTAGGATATAATAACTAAAATTTTACGTCATATAACAAACTTTTCATATCTTTTTATCCAAATATCTCCCCCCCCCTTCTGACTTCCGACAGTGCTCGAACCTCTATTACATTCTTGAATTTTTTCTCTTTTTCCAATTCTTTAACAACATATTTCTTTCAGGTAACGTATCTTTTTATCTGTCTGTCTATGCATGTTTAAATTTAATCTAAATGTCTATCCAACCTTAGGAATTGTAAAAGCAGAATAAATTGTTTTTTACATCCCAGTATTTCTCCAAGTAGTCTTTAAAGTCTTTCCAATCTGCAAAAAAATCTTCTGCTTCTTGATTTTTCAGCTTTCTCGTCATTTTGTCCATCTCAACCATAAAAAGTAACTTTTGTCATTTTGTCCATCCCAACCATAAAAAGTAACTTTTTCAACCATTCCCAGATATCGGCTTTCTTGCTTCCAACACTGAGCGTATTTTTGTCTAATCTTTTTTCAAAGCTTGTGGAGTTGATTACGTTCTTTTTGTCTGCTTAGAAACCTACTGTCAAGCAATGCAATTGGATGATCTCAGTGTTAGGAGACAGCCAACCATTTCTTCTATCTCCTCCCACCATGCCATGCATAGCTTTAAAAATCTCTGCTTGGCAAGGCTTCAATACCTTTAAATGCTGCATGGTGTAATAGTCAATATGATACACTTAATATAACATGGGCCTAGTTCAAGTCCTCACTTGCCTCTGAAGCTTTACTGGATGACCTTGTTCTAGTTATCATTCAGCCTAACGTTCCCCAAAAGGGTGGGGTTGGGAATCCACCATGTACTTCAGTGTGACAGTCTGTGTTCCTTGAAAGCTGGACAGGATTAAAATCAAATAGATGAATCACAGGCGGAACTTCAACAGGCCTTCTTTATTTTTGCCTCCCACCTGATTGCCAGTCCTGGAAGAGCAGCCAGAGAAAGAAGATAGTCCTTCCCCTTGTCAGCTACAACTGATAAGTGTGAACCACCAATGTGATGGCTTCTGATATGATGGCTTCATTGCTAAGTGGGGCTAGTTGTGACCCCCTAGTTGCTAGTTGTGATGGCTTCATAGCCAACTGAGGCTAATTGTGACCTCCGGTTAAGAGCGCGGACTCTAATCTAGGAGAACCAGGTTTGACACCCCGCTCCTTCACATACAGCTGCTGGTGTGACCTTGGGTCAGTCACAAGTTCTCTCAGAGCTGTTCTGGAAAGAGCGGTCCTAGAGCGGTTCTCTCAGCACTCTCTCAGCCCCACCTACCTGGGGCGTCTGTTGTGGGGAGGGGGAAGAGAAAGGAGACTGTAAGTCACTCTGAGACTCCTTTGGGTAGTGAAGGGCGGGGTATAAATCCAATCTCGTCTTCTCTTTTATATTTGAAACGATTACACCACCTGCCTATTTGTTTCCAACTCAGTAGTTGACTTTTAAAGCTTGCTGACATGGGGGACCCACATACTTTGAGGATTGCCTCCACCACATATGAACCCATGCTGCAGTATCACTCATCTCAGCGAGGACTTTTAACAGTGCTCACCAGTAGAGCTCTGAGTGAGCCCCACCACAGCCCGATCACATATACTCTCTGTGGTGGCCCCAGAGCTCTGGAATTAGGGTTGCCAGGTTCCCCCCCTAGCCAGCAGCAGGGAAGGGTGGTGGTGGTAGGGTTGCCAGATCCAGGTTGGGAACTCCTTGAAATCTGGGCATGTAGCAGGACCTCAGCTGGGTACAGTGTCACAGAACCCCCCTCCAAAGCATCCATTTTCTCCAGGGGAAGTGATCTCTGTAATCTGGAGATGAGGTGTAATTCTGGGGGGGGGGCAGGTCCCACTCAGAGGCTGGCTATCTAGAACAGTCTTTCCAGCATCTGTAAGGAAGGCATCTCTCTTGTGGTGTCCAAAAACAAATTGTTTAAGAGAGCAGTGGAAATCACTTAGAGACTAGCTTTTTATTCACCCGTGGCACTCAATGTGAATCCACCATGTATTGTTTTTAAACATGGTTGGATTCAGTGCTCTTCAGCTGCTGGGTTGGAACGCTCTAATGTGTTGCAGAGCCTCTCCTGCCAACCCGCAATTCTCTATAAAGCTGCCACCCCTCCTTTTGCGAAGGACCTGTTGCACGAAAGGGTGTCATACCTCTTGCCTCTCTTTGCATGCAGGCTGAGAACAGCAGGACACTGAGATGTGGTGACTGTTCCTTGCTCCAGTGCACCTCCTAGTGTATGGCTTGTGTTTCCTCCCTCCAGTTCTTTTGGGCACTGTCCTGCCCTTGACACCATCGAGGTAATAATTCTGATTTCCCTCTTCTCGTTTCACATGACTCTACTGTTAGGTGAATTCCTATCACATGGTTGCAGCTCAGTGAGGCCTGGAAAGGTTGAGGGCTACTAATTGATAACTGTGATTTTAACTTTGTTTTGTGAGCTGCCTTGCGTCCTTTTATAGAGCAATGGCAGGGTAAAAGTATTGAAAATAAATAAATGCTTTGCACACAAAAAGTCTCAGGTTCACATAAAGGGTACTAGGTCTCTGTCTGGTACTCATGCTAATCAAATTAAATGATATTGAGCTATGTACAGTGGTCTGACTTACTGAAAGGCAAATTTGTAAGTTAACACATTTACTGTTAGTGCTTTTTAAAAAAAATCACTTTTATCTCACATTAGCTTTTCAAGAAGCTTGAATTATATAATTTTTCTTTATTCTACAAAAAACAAAAAAACCATACAGACATACAAACATATAATCGGGGATAATTTGCATCCATACTATATCCGGTTATTAACCTCATACATCAACCAGTTATCCTTACTTTTCAACACCTTATAATGTTTACATAAAAATCTTTACAAACCATAAAGCATGTAATTAATTGTCTTTCTATTTCGGTTATATGCTTGTAAAGATCAGTTACTATTTTCTTCAATTCAAAGTTTCTATATAGTTAGTTTCAGGTGGGTGGGTAGCAGTGTTGGTCTACAGTAGAAGAGCAAGATTCGAGTCCAGTACCACCTTAAAGACCAATGAGTTTTCCCAAGGTATGAACTCTAGAGCTTTGACTCTTGAAAGTTTATACGTCAGAAAACCTCGTTGGTCTTTCAGGCGCTACTGAACTCAAATTCTGCTCTTCTGTATAGTTGGCAGTCTTAACTAAATGTGCTTTATCGACTCTACACGTTATACATGTCTTATATATATACACACACAAACACATCACTTAACGTATATATGCATGTATGGCGAAAGTCCTTTGTAATAAAACACGTTTTAAAAGTACCTTGAAATCCTATTTAAATTTAACCACACTGGCCTTATTTTTCAGCTAAGTGTATTTTAAAAACGTCGGTACAGCGGTATTTTTTATTTAAAAAAAAACCAACCCCGATATTTGTAGAAACCTCAATAAACTAAAATTACGCCAAAGACTCTGCGCATGCTCTTGTTATTTCAAACCGAGCACTTGGGCCTTTTAACGTACTCGTCCCGCTTCCTCAACTTTGGTGTGCTTGCGCAGAACTCCCACGCCGCTTCGTTGGGAGGAATGCAAGCGCATGCGTGCCATCTCGGACACGCTTTCCTCTGTTGCGCACGCGCAGATGGGCGTCAGCTTCTTCCGCTGCCGTCATTACGCGCCTTCTTCCAAACGCCATGTTGTTTCCTAGAGGCGCATGCGTACTTGTCGCAAACAGGCTTTGCATCCTTATCGCCGCTTCTGAGAGCGGGCGAAGTTGTGACGTAGAGACGCCGGTCGCGCGGCCTCCGTACGTTACGCACAAACGTGCTTGCGTGAGATCGCGGCGCAGCGTCCCTCCTTGCCCCTCCGAATGAAAGGGAAGGTCCCAGCGAGCGAGTGCCTTTGAAGCGAGCGGCAGTAGTGGCGGCTCCGGCTCCCTTTGCAGCCGCTGGGGCTGCCTTGGCTTCTTTCCCCTTCCTCCCAGTCTGGCCCGGTGAGTCTGCCGCTCAGCCGATCTCACCCCCCCGGGTCTGGTTGCTATAGAAACGGGTCCTTCCCTTCCATCCCCCTCCCCGGACCGCAATCCACTGAGGCACATCACTGGGGGGAGGTTGGTGTTCATCAGTCGGGCTTGGGGGGGTTGGATGCCGCCCGTTTCTCGTTGGGAGGTGAGAGAGAATAGGGGTGGGTCCCCTCGGCGGAGGGGGGGGGACGAGATCCATGGGGGAGGTCTGTATCTGTGTAAATACTCAGAATAATCATACTTTTTCTTACTACTGAGGGTCTCCAGACACGTCGCAAAGAAAGTGAAGAAATTGAAATTATCTAACGGTGTACGGGAATTTCACCAGTGATAAACACCTATAGAATCTAATTAGCCTACTGTTACCATCATATTTAGTGTGTAGTTATCGGTATGTAGTAATACTAAACATTTGCATTCCATTTTTCAAGAGAGAACGTGCTTGCCTTGATATTTGGCATAGGGGCCAAAGCTGCCTCTCTGTTGTTGCTCCTCATCCAGGAGCTGGCATTCAGAGGTACACTGGCTCTGAACGTGAATGTCCTGTTTAGCTTTCAAAGGTAATAGCTTCTGATGGATGTATTCCTGCCTCACACTCAGGGGTTGCAGACACTGCCCCTCAGAGTTCCATTCTGCAAACTATGGAATCCGATTGTGTTTGGCTTCTTGATCCTCTCTTACGTTTGATGTGTAGGATGTTGTCAAAATCTGACTTGCAAAGCAATCTTGCTTGCTCAGTTGTGAGCTCTGCTGTGTTTCGTAGGGCTAACTACTTGGAAAACATGTTAGGTCTTATTTACAAAATGGTCTTATTTACAAATGAGTCTGGGTGTGTTTAATAAAATAGATGCATTTATATAGCACTTCTCAAACGTTAAAATGTTTGTATGTAATCCTTGCAATGTCCCTGTGAGAGAGTTCAATGCTATTATCCCCACATTTCAGATTTGATGTTGAGAGAATAGTATTTTGCTGTGGGAAGTTCAAGTTCATTGCTCAGGTAAAATTTGAATCTAGGATTCCTTGTTATGTGCTCTTGCAACATGCCTCCTATATAGTTAATTCTGATATCCCTTTCAGTATTAGTTGCAGTATTGAATGATAAAGCATATCATCTGTAAGAAGCTAGTAGAAGTTTTCAGAGGCAAAATAATTACAGTGATTTGTTAATTTGGTTCTTCAAATAGTTTTCTGGAACAGAGATGTTTGATTGAAATAAACGTGAGGGTTTTTCCTTGGTTGAAGCTAGCTGATGAGCCTGCTCTGTTTTTAGTATTGTTTTCTGTATGGCTGTCCTGTTTTTGAGAGGAAATCCTATTAAGAATAATAGGACACTTTTGTGACTTAAGGTTGTTAATAAGTTTTCAGGGCTTTGCTTAGATCTGGCTCTTGTTTCACTAAAAGTTAGATCCATTGAGGTAAGAAGACTTTGTCCAAGGGCATGGACAATCTTGATATAGGCAGCCAAAGAGATCTTGAAAGCTTACACTGATACAGAAAAGTTAAACAGGGTTCCCAGAACAGACCCGTGGTAGGCAATGTTCCCTCTAAGCTGAGTTAGTGTGAGCTAGCTCACACTAACTCAGCTTAGAGGGAACACTGGTGGTAGGTAATAGGATTCAGGGTTTTTAGTGTTTCAGGCTGTTAGCAGTGCCATCTTCAACAGAATTTCATTGTTCTTAGTCAATGTACTTAAAACAGTATAACCCTGTTTGTGGCTGCAGTTTAGAGTGTACTGTTTCTGAATGCTGCTGCTTGTGCTGCTTGTGTTAATTTCCGTAACTCATTTTGAATGAACCGGGTCCATTCTAAGTTATATTTTTAGTACTTTGGGGTTTTTGTTTCCTAAAATGCTTGGGGGTAACTCTCTTGCCATCTGACTTGCTGTAACTCTGGGTAAAATCTTTTTAGTTTGGTAAATACACAGTCTTTAACACCTGCTGCTCCATATTCTGATAATGTTCCATCAGATTTAACTCATGCCAATACACAAGCCCATTGAGAAAATGCTCGCGAATGCTTATGTGTGATGTGTTCTGTTGGTTTTCTTTGAATTAGCAATGGGACCTATAGAAGGAGTCTCAAAAATATGTTTGGATGGTTAGGACAGTATTTGCTAAAGGATGTATTTTGACTTGTGCCTGGACAATAGTAGGAACCGGTGGCAGGTATTGGAGCATGGGTGGGAAAAGTACAGGTGCCACTTGGCTTTCCATACCAGCTGAAGCTGCCTATCAACCTTCCATGAAGTTACAGCCTTTTGTTATGACAGTTCAGTCCTGAGTATTATAACCCAAGTTATTTAAAAGGGTCTTAATTTGGGAGGATAGGTAAAATGTGTGAAGGTACATGTTCGCAGGCACTTATAGCATACAAACACTTGTCTGGAAACTTGGGAGTTGTGGCAGTTCTGTGTAGAGTGGCAAGTTTGGGTTGGCTGCTACATAGTCTGGTTCAGACATAATAATCAAACCAAGATTTGGCTGTTTGGGGGCTGTGCCTCATGGTGTCATACACAACCCCCCTATCTTTTGCAGTGCTTTCCCTCCTTTGCTTCTGGGTTCATTCAAACCATTGTTTCCTGTCTGAAAATTGGGCAAATTATGATTTTCGGAAACCTGAGTTTTTCTCTAAGCTAAAATTGGAATTTGACTTTAAAACGTAAATTTTAGTTTGGAGGCAAACCATGATTTTTGCAAACTGAGAAATGAGGGGTGAAATTGGAGTGGGAAAAGGGAGAGCATGAGTCTGAGGCATGGACCCAGCAGTCAGTTTGAGATGTCCCTGTAATGTGTGAAATGGCCCTAAGTGAGGGCACTGTTTCGAAGCATTCCATGCTAGTATTTACAGATTTAACATGGAGCATATTTAAATTACAGTGCCTTGTTTTTACAGTTTTGGTTCAGGCTATTAATGAGTTATATGCATAGAGAATATATAAAAAGAGTTTAAATTATGTCCTTTGAGGAAAGAATTTAAACACTTGCTTAACTACTCCATTAAAGTCAGTGGGGGGTGTTGAATGTTTAATTTTGGCCACATTGTCTGTAGTATTTTGTTAAGTTTAAGGATGACCAGATAAAATAGTGTCAGGATGTATCACTGAATACAGTTTATTTCATAAATAATTCAGGGTGTTTAACCTGAGATTCCACCAAGGCTTTTGCTGGTTTCAGATTGATTTGTGTTACATTTTTGGAAAACCACTTAAAGATTTCAGTTGCTTCCAAAATAAGACTACTTTGTACATTTTTTTTCCCCTTTTGAGTCTAAATACATCTTGATCTGCTGAATGAAGAATTTGTGCACATTGCTACTGAACTGCTTTATAGTCTGAAGACCTCTTGCAAATTAAATAATTATTAAAACTTTTTTTACTTACAGCTGGAATAATTTGGAATTTGAAATTAAACTTACTCATGTGTTTGGCCTCTTTTTGAAGCCCACACTAGGGTTTGACTTTAGCAGCTAAATAGAGCGAGACAAGAAGCTCTTGAATTTCCCTCCTTTCCCTGGGCTTCAATGACATCACTGTTACTTTCCCTCCTTCAGTGCTGAATAGAGTCTGCTGGCTGAGCTTTCAGAGCCGGCCGCTCCCCCTGCCCCATTTTAGGAATCGGCCATTTAGTAAAGTGCAGTGAGGCCCCAAGGAGAGCTTCAGATACAACTGGTATTCATGAGGGAAATAAATGTTTTTGCTTGTTTGTACCAAGAATGTATTGTGCTCTGGGTAACGAAGGATAGATTATGATTATGTGATGTTGTGTTCTGTGTGTAATGTTTGCTTACTTTGCTTAAAATGTTAGGGCACTTATAAAATCTGCCCAAGTAAACCTCTTAAAATAAATTAATATTGTTGAAGGTCCTTATCCTGTTTAATATAAATGATTTCCTGAGTAGCCCTTTGTGTGAAATGTTGGAATTCTGGGTTTGTGTTTCATCTCTGAAATGTCTTTTGTATATATACCAGAGCAAAGTTTGCCACTGCTAATATTGTATTGCTGTAGGTGGGGTTTCTGGGAAAAGCTTTTGATATGCTTTATGAAGTCACTCAAAACTTGGAACTTGTTAAAATAGTTCATATCAGAGTATATTTTCAGGTTTTCATAGTGTATCTTGGTGTATTTCAAGTTGGAGGCCAGGGCAGACATTTAAAAATAATAGTGGCTCTTTTTTTCTGAGTAACACATTTCCATTTTTGCTAGTCTTTCTGGTAATAAATCTATAGCTTATGAAAAAAAATGTCAGCAGTTAAAAATGGTATTAAGGTCTGTACATTTGCATTTGCTGTGATGACAGGTGGGATATGTGCTGAGATAGGCCTTGTATGTTGCAACCCCCTACCAGATCTTCATGTGTAAGAGCCAAGGCACTCAGTGTTGTTGTGGTGGGCATGTTTCAATTTGGGTTTAACTGTGTCCCAACTGCAACACTTCAGCTGCCTCAGAAAAGTTAAGTGACCATGATTCCCTTATAGAGGTGAAAGAAAGGGATGGCTGCTGGCATTGGACATCTGGGAATCCCAACTATTGAGTTATCAGTCCTGCTTCTTCTTCAGATCCCTATCCTGGCTTCTGTTTCTCAGGTGTGATAGGATGTTGTGAGAATGGGATGGAAAAGAGGATGTCAGCATCTTGGGCAAATGTCATTTTATCTTTTTTTTAAATTGTGGTTCTGACTTTGAATGTGGAATGTAACACTTCCCTGAAACAATTTTATTCTCACCCCCCCACCACCACCTTCAGGCACTCAATCCCCCGTTAACGTTTTGAAAATAAATGTGGCTGTTATCCAAATGGTTTTCTCTCATCTTAATTCATATTGATATACATTCACTACAAGCTGTTACGTTAGTGATGTGAATTAATATCAACTATAAAGCTTGCATGGTTAAAATCTTTCTGCATTTAATTTGTTTTAAATCTTTACCTCCCACACTTAACAGAATCTCTCTGTTACAAGCTGATAAAGTGAACTGTAACTTGTAGGGTTACACACTGATTTCTGAAATGAGTTGCTTCAGCCTTCCATTATGACGACACTTTCATCATGCATTTGTGATACTTGAATAGCTTTAAAGTGTCTGCAAAAGATAGGTACAGTACAGAATAAGCTAAATATAGAGATCCTGCTAATAGCAAAAACTATTACATTGTCAGTATGAATTTTCAAATACCTTACTCTAGTAAGCTTTGGCACAAATATTTTTCTGTAAATGTCCATCTCCTTCAGAGTTCTGACATTTTAATCTTCAATGGAAAATAAAATTCTAAATAAAAAACAAAAGCAGCAGTGTTGCTGGCTTAATTCAAAATGCCTTAGGAATAATAATATCTGAAGCTAAACTGTATTATTTCCTTTCTTGCCTTGTCTTGTATCTTGCTGCGCTTGCATTTCCAAACTGAAAAAATATTTTTGGGATTGCCCTGCTGACAACAAATCCTGTCATAGAGAATTGAATTCTCCTGTGATTAAGTCAACAACGCCATGCACAAACTATTACTTATGTTATAGCATTACAAAAGTAGTAGTAACATGCTTTTCACAGAGCTGGTAAAATTCTACGGTTTGACCCCAAGTTTTAAGTTGTCCTCAAATGTTCAGGTTAATGTCTAGGAAGGGTTCTAGCCCTGTACCCCAGAATGTCTAAGGCTCCTTTTTTGGTGCATACTCACTTGTCATAGATGGCAATGATATTTGATAATACTAAGTCTGATTTAATCTTCATGTGATCATGGTTGTAATAGCAAGTGTAGAATCACACCCACCTTTACATCATGATATTGCTTGATAGGATAGTGTTGTGCTGTTGCTCGCAGTGGCTATTTGGAAATAGGCCTCCCCTTTGCCCACATTGGGCAGGGAAGTACCCATCCCTGGCCCCAGTTTTCTGGAGTTGGAGATAAGGGGATGGCCTCCATTCCTAGAGCACTTTTCCTAGTTTCTGTGGTAAGGACCATAGAGACTAGGGCAGGCTACCTAGATTAGATCAGCAGATCCTCCCCCAAAATCTTCTAGTATTTGCCAAGGGGGCGTTGGGAACCCTGTTTGGAAGAGCTGTGCAGGCGGCTGTCATAGTGCTGTCCTGTATCTCACTGAAGCCATGCTAGTATGTTTGCATACATGGATTTACCTCTCTGGCAGCCTTGTCGTCTCCTGGAGGCTAGCATCCTGTTCACAGCCTATTTGAGAAAAAGCAGGGGATCTCTATGCTTGTAATGAGGTTTACACTTATCAGATGAATTACAAGTTCAAACGTTGTTGTTTTGTATTGCACAGATATCCCATTGAAGAAGTCACGGATCCACAGTTTGTTATTTGGTATGTCTTGATTCTAAATCTTAGTAATTTGTGATTGCTGGAAGAATTATATATATAATTTGAGCTTTTGTCTTTGCCAAGTTATATGTACTCAGTATTTTCAAATAAATGAATAGTGAATATTAACATCAACACTATTATTAACAGCCAAGATAATCCAGACTATGATGGGTGCTGAATGCCTGTTTGTTGGATGCTGTTCATGCCCGCTATTTCATATGAATTATCTTAGCACTAGCACTTGGTAATGTTTTATACTCATATTGTTATGATTTTATCTAAATTGTTTTAGCTGTATAATATCCTATGTAAGCTGCCCTGAGCCTGCTACGGCAGGAAAGGGAGTAGAAATTTAATTAATAAATAAATTAAATAAATAATAAATAAAAGTAGAATACACAACAATATTGTACTTCGTTTTCCTCTAGAGTCCAGTTATGCATGGTGCCTGTTCTTATTGCCTGCTTTTTTAGTTTTAATTTTCCAACATTCTTTGGGTACTCAATTTTCTGGTCTTTTGTCACAGCTCTTTTTCCTTGGAGAGCAAGTGCTTTGGCAGTATGCAGATTTATTTAGAAGATTATACTCAACATACCATATTCTACCCTGGGGCACTGTGAATCTAGAAGCTGTTTTATCAAAGAAATGCTAAATAGCTATTGAAGTTGAAAGAGACCAACACCATAATTTGTACTTTTTTTGTTCTCTGTAGCAGCCGTAAGGATTGAAGTGGTGTTCTTCAGGCAATTTTAAAAATCATGTCAGGCTCAGTTGGACAGAAAAAGGGGTCTGGGAGACAGCGCAAGTGTGGCTTCTGTAGATCCAATAAAGATAATGAATGTGGGCAGCTGCTGATGTCTGAAAACCAGAAGGTGGCAGCACACCACAAATGTATGGTAAGTGCCCTGAAGGACACTGAACTGCTGTGGGGGCTTTCAGAGTGCGTTGCCATCACATTGATGGAGAGTATTTGTAAGGGAAAATTGGCGGGGGCAGGTGGGAGTGGTCGTTTTCTTCTGTCAGCGCATTGCTTGCCTGTTTTTTTCCCCTGACCTTAGCTTCTAGACTTGAAGTAGCCCAACTGGAGGGAAACAGTTGTGGATAAATGGGATTTCTGCAGAGGTTCAGTAGGTGCAGGGAGGGTCAAGCACTTCCCAACTCATCCACTGACATTTTCCTGTGCAGATATCACCTGCTTCTGATTCGGCAACCTGTGTTTGCTGAGATAACATGCAGTTTTGCCCAATGCATGCAATCCTATGATCGACTTGAGAGTAAGCCCCATTGGACTTGCTTTTAAACAAGCGCATGGTCCGGCCACACCGTATAATTGGAAGTGAATCGTGTCGGGATTTCAGTTAGTGGTGTATTTCGTTTGAACAACTTGTCAAATGTAGAAGTTTGAATTTTCCTTATTTGAATAAATGTTGAAATCTCATTTTCCTGGTTTGTGTGTGTGTTTCAGCTGTTTTCATCTGCCTTGGTATCTTCACACTCTGATAATGAGAGTCTTGGAGGCTTTTCCATTGAAGATGTGCAAAAAGAAATAAAGAGAGGTACCAAGCTGGTAAGTTACTGTTTTTAGACCAAACCAGTGAAGTGTTGGTGTTGTTCAGTCGCACAGTCAAGTCTGACTATTCGTGACCCCATGGACCACATCACGCCAGGCCGTCCTGTCTTCCATCATGCTCCAGAGTTTGCTTCACTTCATGTTCATTGCATCGATAACACTGTCTAACCATCTCATCCTTTGTCGTCCCCTTCTTCTTTGACCTTCAATCAATCTTTCCCAGCATCAGGGTCTTTTCCAGTGAGTGCTCCCTTCTCATTTGGTGACCAAAGTATTTGAGCTTCAGCTTCAGTATCTGGCCTTCCAGGGAACACAGGGTTGATTCCTTTTAGGATTGACTGATTTGATCTCCTAGCAGTCCAAGGGACTCTCAAGAGTCTTCTCCAGCACCATAATTCAAAAGAATCTATTCTTCAGCGCTTGGCCCTCCTTATAGTCCAACTCTCGCAGCCATACATTACTACTGGGAATACCATTGCTTTGATGATACGGACTTCTGTTGGCAGGGTGATGTCTCTACTTTTTATTATGCTGTCTAGATTTGCCATCGCTTTCTTCCCAAGGAGCAGGCGTCTTTTAATTTCATGGCTGCAGTCACCGTCTGCAGTGATCTTGGATCCCAGGAACGTGAAGTCTGTCACTGCTTCCATGACTTCCCCTTCTATTTGCCAAGGAGTGTTGGGGCCAGATGTGTTTCAAGCGAACTTTTGCACTCCCTTCTTTCACCCTCAGCAATAATCCAGTGAAGTAGTTTCACTTAAAAAATGCAATGTCTTGGGAGTATTCAGGAACTTGTCAACATCCCAGCTTTGTGCCTCTGCTTATATGGGGTGCTAGTGTAGTTTTGAGGCTGTGCCTGAGTAGTGGCCATTGTGCTCCATCCTGAGGATTTTGCTTCTGGCACAGAAAGATCTGTTCTAACTCACTGCTATGCCCCTTGAACTTTTCCCCTCTTTGTTGTTGAATAGTAAGGTTAATGGATAGAGAGCTATTGTCTGGAAACAATACTAACACAAAGCCAGGTTCAAATTGAGAAGAAAAGGTATAATTCCTTTAATACAGTTTTTGTGGTTCATCACTTGTCTTCGGTAACAGGCTAGTCTGCATTATCAAGTAACTTCATCTCAAAGCTTCTTAACACTTAAAAAAGTTGGGTGTATTATAACCAGATAAATGTCCTCAAGCAATTGGACTACTTTAAACATCTTGGATTAATTTTGCAGTTATGGTAAACCGAAAGCTTGTTTCACTTACGGGTGTATTTCTGTTAGCAAATTAACTGTGCGTTGTACTTGTGCAATTCTGATCAATTTAAGTGGAATTTGTGCAAATAAATGTCAGTGGTGACTTTGAATATATGAGCCTACCTTATTCCTAGTCAGGCCATTGGTTCATTCAGCCCATCCTATTTGGCAGCATCTGTCCATGGGCTTTCTTAAGCCTGTTACCTGAAAATGTTTTCAGCTGGAGATACTGGGAATTGAATCTAGGTCATTCAGTGTGCAAAATATGTGCTGAATCACGAAGCTATGGTTTGTCCCCAGACAATGCCAAACTGATCTTATTAAAATATCTCCAAAATGCCATGTTTGTTTTGGTTAAAAGGGCTGGAGCTGGTTTTCCAGAACATGAAGCCCAAAGTGACAAGCAGCCTGTAAAGGTATCCCAGTTTTATCTCCATATTTGTAGATGAGAGGGCCCTGGGTCTGAGAAGTGAAGGGCTTGCTTGAAAATTCCTATTGCATTCAAATCTGAACTTCAGTAAGAATTGTAGACTTGCAGCTATGTTGTTACCCCATGTACTTATTTATTAGACAGGCAAATAGAATGTGAAATAAACAGGACTGCAGTTTGTGGTAGAGCAGAGCGAGTCTGTGAAGTAATCACTGTAGAACGCACATACTTTTCTGGGGTTAAATGGTTTTTTCTGCTGCCTTTGGTCTGTACAACTCTAGTTCACTTCTCTTTTGAATTTGAAAAATATAGTGAAGGGTAAGCTGTTATAATAAGAGGTTATCTTTCTCTTCCGTCTTTTTCAGTGAGACAGAAAGCACTAACATTAGTGTTTATGAGACTGTCCTTCTCTTTCAGATGTGCTCGTTATGCCATTGTCCAGGGGCAACAATTGGCTGTGATGTAAAAACCTGCCACAAGACCTATCACTACTACTGTGCATTGCATGATAAAGCTCAGATCCGAGAGAAACCCTCCCAAGGCATTTACATGTAATTATTTGTATTTTTCCTCTTTTTTTTGCTGCTGTTTATATAGAAGGCTTGAATGGTCGTTTGCCTTCTGTGTCAGTGCTGTCCTCTTTGGTTGTTGCTGGTGTACCAAAATAGTTTCTGAATATAAATGTATTTAGGTGTATTTAAAAGGTTCTGTATTTTGGTGGGTTTAACTTTTTCTAATGTTTTGCCCCCAGGATATTGTGTCGAAAACATAAGAAAACAGCCCACAACTCAGAAGGTAAAATTACTTAACATCTGTTGTTTTAAATAGTTGTGCTGCTGTGACGGACCCCATCCACTTCCCTCCCTTTGAGGCAAGATTTTCCCTCCAGTTTGTTTGTGTGTGTTCCTTCATAGACTGAGCAGCTCTGGTAAAGTGTATTCTTCTCTATAAAGTGGCTTTTACAGTCCCACCCTGTGTCAGTAATTGTGTAATGGCTGTTTTCTCAGCCAGGGACCTGAAGGAAGGGTTAGGGTTCACAGCTTTATTCACAGCTTCTATGGTTCTTTATTTTGAGAGGCTTTTGTTCCATGTGTAATGGCTGTTTTCTCAGCCAAGGACCTGAAGGAAGGGTTAGGGTTCACGGCTTTATTCACAGCTTCTATAGTTCTTTATTTTGAGAGGCTTTTGTTCCTGGGTTTTCCCAAACCACTCCAGCTCACTTTATTTGTATGATAGCAGACTCTTTTGGTGCCTAGATAGCTGGTACCCTCTTCCCAGTATCCAAGCCTCTTCTCTTAGAAGACCAGAAATCTTCTTGAGTCGTTAACTGACTTTCATAGTCTCCACAAACAGTTTCCAATCTCACTAGACCAGGGAATATCTACTTCTCAGAGACATGTTTCCCTGTTTGACTGGGTAGGGATTCTTCTTCTCTCCCTCGAAGATATATCCCCTATTCCTTTTGGCCAGAATGGGAGACTTCTTATTCTACCCAAACCTCCTTGCCAAACATTCCCCCAGTTTGCTGTCTTAGTTCAAAACTGCCCTCAGTTAATGCTGAATTAAGACTATATTAAGTCAGGGGTGAATTCTAATTTTGTCAGCACTAAACCCTTGTCCATCAGGGTTAATCTAAGATGATCTCCATACATATCTTGTCACAGTTAAGGCAGGAATCTGAATCTGTTCTCTTCAGCATCCAGTTCTCACAAGACTTTTTCTGCTCAGCTGATGCCCACCAATCAGATTGCCTGGAGCAGCCTGTCACTCAAGGCTCTCTAGCTCTGTGAAGTATTAACCCTTCACAGTCCTGTAGTTTTATGTACAGCACTTTTAAGCTTCTTGAAAAGTACAATCCGTCACAACTGCAAACATTCAAAGTAGAATAGAATCAGAATAATGGGAAGCAACACAGTTTTTTGGCACCTGGAATACATACACACACTCAGGGAGGGAGGAAACAAGAAAGAAGGATGGTCAGTGCCATTAAAAAGTGAGGTTAGAAGATGCAGCAACCCAGGTTTTTACTTGTGCTCTGTGAAGTAAGTGATCTGCTTGGGTGTGGCATACTTTAGAATTGGCTAAGCAAAATGCATGGTGTCCAAAAGAATTTCTCAGGGACATCCATGAGGCTAGGTAATAGCCTTACCAGTGTATTTCAAGAGGAGAAACATTTGGGAACAAAAGTGAAGAAGCATTGGTTTAAGTGCTCAGAGGCCATGGATAGTGGATTTGACCAGAAGATACAGATTATGCTGAAATATGAAATAGTTCAGGGGACAAAACAACAAAGTTTTAACAGCCAAAGTGATGCTCTGGCACTAAGATCAATCATGAAGCCAATGAGTTGGAATTCATACACACATTTGACTCTGTTGGACATAGCTCAATGGCCTTGCCAGTTATCACAAGTTCTACCACTTTGATGAGGTTGCCTGCCCTTTAGACTTCATTTGTGCCTTTTGTGGTAGTGCAACACACTTCAGTTAGATTGTGGAGCCTTCTGTTTGCAGTTCATAATAATTCTCACCATGATCTGCATATGTATTCCTGTTTCATCGTCTTAACACAATAGGTTCTGACACGTAAAAGCTTCTGCAGTAATACACTTGGTACTCTCTAAAATACCACAATGTTTTCTTGCTTTGGCTGCAACCGACCAGTGCAGCTACCCCTCTGGAATTTGACACTCTCACAAACTTTTTTTGCACTAACACCATACATGTGTGCAGAGGTATCTTCTCAGTGGTTGTTGTACAGATGGTTTGAGGCCTACATTTCCTGGTGAAGACTTGAGATTTGGATGCTTTTTTATGTTTTCCAAAGCTGTTGTTTGCTTCATAAGGCTTTGGGACCTGATTGTTAACAGAAGAGAAGAATGTTGGCATTTGCATAAAGGTGACTGCTTGCTATATATTCTGGTTCATGGTACAATATGATCTAGATACTGCTGTACTTTGAAATGTAACCTTCCTTATAGATCTGCAACCTCTCATTTGTTAAAACCAGATCTTTTGGGAGCAGTGTAGTCAGTACACTTGGATGGCTAGACTGCATGCAAATTCCAGCCTGTCAACTTCACACTGGAGTTTTTCTTTGAAACTTCCCGCTGAGATGTGTCCAGGAGAACCCTTTTTAAATTTTCAGCTATTTCTTTGTTCATCTTTTCATTTAAAATATTTGTATTGCTTCTCCCTTCTTTTGTACAAAGCACAGTTAAAATACAGTATATAAAGCATCCAAACTAAAAGCAAAAAACCCCAAATACATCAGAGCGACAGTGAAGTACCACAATCAGCTGGCAGCAGATTTATTAATGGTAACTGATTCACGGTTTAATTATTGTTGGTGTGGAAGAACATCTGCGGCAGTAATGTCCTCACTCACTTTTAGAGTGCCAATATTGTGGTTGATGACGTTTCCCTCAGAAGGGAATTCTGCAACCTCTGTTCTACTGTTGGAAAAGCCCTGTCTTGTGTAACCACACATGGCATCCCCTCCAAAGGTGATAAAACATGCAACAGTGTTTTCAAGGTAATCAATATGGTTGATGCCATACAGTGGAAGATCTGTTTAAGGCAGAGATGTCAAAACTCATTTGTTCATTTTATTGTGGCTTCTGTGCAGTCCTACCTGTGACTGCATGATTGCAGGCCAGCCGTGGAGAAGAGCTTCCAAGCTTTTCTGAAGTTCCTAGGCTTTGGAGTCTCCCCCTCCCCTCTGTCTATAGAGATCCTTCCCACCCAAAGAGGTGGGGGTGAGCACTCCTCCCTTAGTTCTCTTCTTGCCGCTGTGAGGAGAGGATGTGCTTCTAAGCAGCTGCTTTGTGGGGCCTCAAAAGTACCAACAAAGTTTTTTTTCCACGAAGATCAGTGAAGAATTTCAATTACAAATGGTAGGATGGCTCTGTTTAAAAAATGTGGGGAGTGCAGTGTGAAACTGGCCCAAAACGACTATCATACCCCGTGCCTCCTATGTTTGGGGAGAGGGCCACAATACAGCCACATGCCCAGCTTGCCAATGCCTTTCCCTTCGCAATGCCTTGTGAAGGCAGAGCAGCAAGACTTAAAGCTGCGTTTTGGGGGGAAGCTCTGGTTGTCCCAGACCCCTGTGGGGGAAAACAGGCTCAAATGGACAAGGGTGCAAGGGCCCATTTGGTGATTTTGGCACCGACCCCCTTGGTATCAAAACCACAAACCCAGTCCTCTGCCCCGAGATCAGTGTTGGAACCGCTTCCAAAATAGACTAAAAAGAGAGCCAAGTATTCACATTGCAGTCTGGCTTGATCAGTGTTGCATCAGCGCCGTTCTGTCTCCCCTTGGAATCAATGGTCTCCATCTCCACAGAACCACAGCTCACCTGCTCGCCAATCCTCCCCACCTCAACTCCGACAGTCTGAGTCTCCTTGGAGTTGAGCATCAACACCAAGGGTCTTCAGATCAAAGTCCCGTCAGCACCACAATTTGCTATCAGGGCTTGATGTCGACCCACTCTTGTGTGTGAAGATGTCCTCACCATCAAGAAGGTTAGTAAGGTCTCCAGATTCCTTAGAGGATGAGGTCTTTGAGGTGCATCCTACAGGCCCACCCATGTCGCAAGAGAAAGGGCAACTGGACATGCAGCCACCAAGTCAGTGGCCATTGCAGCAAACTCCATGAGGTCCGTTTCCATTCATGATGCCACCGCAGTGGGGACAGTGGGCACCTCCGCAGGCTCCATACCAATGGCAACCTACAAAATCTTCCACAAGATTCAGACGAGACCACCAGGACCAATACAATCCTGATGGGGGGACTTGCTCTATCAAATTTTGGAAGTAGGCTCAAAGAGTACTTCCAGTGCCTGCCTCTGCTGTGCACAAACCCAGTGCACTTTTCTGAATGCCTGACCTTCCTCTTCTCCCCCCCCCCCCCCGGCCTGCTTCCATTTAGACTGTTCCACAAGCCAGCACTTGCATGCAGGAAGCCAGGGGGACGTGTGCATTTCAACTTCACCTCTTTAATTTTGTCCATGCTGCTGAGGGAAGCTGGGGAGGAGTTGTGCATATTTGGGTCAGTGGGTTAACAGCTCACCTGAGTTGGCAAGCTTCTTCTGTCCTCCTCACCCCTTATGGTTGCCAAATCCAGGTTGGGTAATCCTTGGAAATCTGGGGAGAGACCCTGAGGAGAACTCGCATTTGGGGAAGGGAATGACCTCAACAGAGAGTATAATACCCTAATGTAGGCCCTTCCAGTCCACATTCAGACTGGTTTTCCATCAGTTGTTCACAGGCTGGATAAGAGTTCTGAATGAGCCAGTTTCTGCCCACAGGCCATATGTTTGATATGTCTGGTTTAAGACTTTCAGAGTTCAGAGGAACGCTTTGCATTTGGCCTAGAAACCAGGTGGGAGCTAGTGCGGTGCATGCCAAATCAAAGTTCTCTTCTCCTAGGCTTTCAGGTGAACTTGCTTTTGTCTCTTGCCTGAAATAGCTTTTTATTAGTTTGTGTCAGTTGGCTGCTAGCTTTCAAAGAAATGCTTTTAATAATGATTTTAAGGGATATTCTGACAGAGCTATTTTTATATAAATACTGAGTGTCTTCTCATACTGCTGGTTCATTAGTTTCATGGTGATTTTTGGTATGGGTTTGGTGATTTTTTGGTATGGGTTTGGAAGCCTTTTTGTACCAAGTACAAATGTATTGAGGAAGGAAAGAACTTCTGGATTTACAATCCAATTCTTGAGCTTGTAAAGATGGGGTGCCAGTGTGTGGAACCCAACAACTTGTTTGCCCCCATTTTTAGTCTACTCTCCTTCATATTTCTTTACATACACAGAGAGCCAGTTTGGTGTAGTGGTTAAGTGCGTGGACTCTAATCTGGAAGAACCGGGTTTGATTCCCCGCTCCTCCACTTGCAAGTTTGTAAGCCGCTCTGAGACTCCCTTGGGTAGTGAAGGGCGGGGTATAAATCCAATCTCTTCTTCTTCTGATTGGGGGGGGGGTCCATTTCATCACTGAAGTTATATATCTCATACAATATCTAAATATCTATTTTCTATATTCCACCTTATTTTTATGTATATTCTTTTGCAGTTGGTTTAAAATAAAGTTCCTGTTCCTTTCAAATTGGTTATATGTCAAATCTAATTTATAAAATCTTGAAAAATTGTATAGTCTCTCTTGTACAAAGGGTTTGACCTTCTCTTAAAAGTATATGTAATCTCACATATCTAGAAAGTTTTAATCCTTTTTGTAGGATTTCATCCTCTTCTTCATTCTCTGGTTTCTCCTCTTAAGTTTTAAAGTCTTAATTCTGTGTCTTTCCCCCTTGTATGTAAGGAAAATAGCCTCAGTATTCAATTCTTTGGATGATTTGAGGTTCCATATAGTCTTTACTTTTCTCCCTCTGAAGGATAATTTCATTTGCTGCTGTAAAGATTTCATCTCTTGTCATTCTTTCATATAATCTCACATTCAGTTCTCCAAACATTTTGTTTCTTTTTGCGTATGTTGACTTCATTCTGTAGGCTGTGTCATTTTGCTTGCAGACTTCATCTGTATTTTCTGTATCCATATCTCTCACAAAGATGTATGTATATTTCTAGGCGTATGCTTTCATGCTCTACAGAGCATTATGTAAAACTATTCTAGTTTGTGACGTTTCTTTTCTCTTGTCTCTCCAAGCAGATTTAGGTGAAGGTCTTAATGAACATGAATTGGAACCATCGCCTCCCAAAAAGAGGGGGCGTAAAGGAAGGCCCAGAAAAATGAGTCTCAAAGGGCAGTCAGAAGACACTCGATCAACATCTTCACATGGCACAGACGACATAGAAAGCAGCTCTTATGTAAGCAATTCGTATGCTTAAACTCTTGCATGATCATAGGTTTCTTTTTGATTTGATTTGCTTAGCTGTATTCTGTTGAAACCATATTTGTTGTTCTGGCATACTATTTTAGAAAAGTGTTTTTCTTTCAGAGAGACAGATCACCCCACAGAAGCAGTCCCAATGATACAAAACCTAAATGTGGATTCTGTCATGCAGGTGAAGAAGAAAATGAAGCTAGAGGGAAGCTTCATATATTCAATGCCAAAAAGGCAGCTGCACATTATAAGTGCATGGTGAGCAAGCATTGTTGTCCTAACTCTCTGGCAAAGTACATGTTTTCCATAAGCAGACTTTGGATTGAAAGCAGAACGTTCCCCTACATCCTAAGACAGAACTCTGTGTCTGCCTGAAAGATGGTGGTCCACCACACCCTATGTAACCACTATTTGCTCAGGACTGCACTTGTCACTTTGTCCTATCCAGACAAGCGTAAGATAGTGTGATGAAGGATAAGCAAATGCTTCCTATCCCGTCCCTCCCCCGAGTTTCTTGGCTGTCCTGAGTTCTATCTCAAAACAGCACCCACTTTAAAGATACACAGGACCTGTGTCCTTAAGTTTCTAATGCTACTTCTGCATCTCTTTTTAGTTGTTTTCTTCTGGCACTGTACAACTGACAACAACATCAAGGGCAGAGTTTGGTGACTTTGATATTAAAACTGTGCTTCAGGAAATCAAGCGAGGGAAGCGAATGGTATGTTCTTATGGTTTGAATCTGAGCTGTATGTGAGCATTGGCTTCTGGCTATGTCTTCACAAATTTAAGCGGCTTTAAAACTGTTTTTTGTAGCATGGCTTCCCTGCCAGAAGAACTCTGGGGATCCTTACTTTGTGAGGATGCTGAGGAAATACTTGTCCTGTGTCTGGGTTGGGTGGTTCAGTGGGTGCTTTCAGCATGTTAATGCTGAGACAAGTTCTCCCATGTCTTATACGTTGTCATCATACAGGCAAGGCAATTGTATCCTGATGAAACTTCTCTGAGAGCATGAAATGAAGCATCAGGGTATTGTGGAAACGATGAAGTGAAAAGAGATAGATTAGTGGTCCAGTTAACTTGTCCTTTCACCATAACAGAAGTGCACACTCTGTAGTCAGTCTGGCGCAACTATTGGATGTGAAATCAAAGCTTGTATCAAGACTTACCATTACCACTGTGGAGTGCAAGACAAAGCAAAATACATTGAGAACATGTCTCGAGGAATTTACAAGTAAGTGCTCTTTTGGTTGTTTTTTTTACCTTTGATGAAGGGCTAACAGTGCTGAAAGCTAAAAGAGCGGTAGGCTCTGTGAATCAGAAGAACCTGTATTCAGGGCTCATTTAATTGAGATGGTACAAACACTGGCAGTAAATTCCTCTGAAATCTATAGGCCCCTTCAATAGTGTAGGCTTAACATAAGATCCATCAGGATTATGATGTGTGTTTTTAAAAGACACTTACGCTTTAAGTTAGCAGTGCCAAAGTTGGTGTGTGTTTTAACTTACTATAGATCTACTTTTCTTCCACAAGCTGTTCATTTAAATGGCAGATGGTGGTGTACGTTTGTACAGAACATCCTAGATATTCTCTGCAATCCTATCATCAAACTCTAAGATAGATCACAGTCACCCCCGCATTACAGATGTGATTCTGGGAGTCCCTCTCACTTCAAACACAATCAGCGTGGCTCTTGGAAGGATGTTGTCGCTGTTGCTACCCTTCCAAGAGCCAAATTGATGGCATCTGGAAGTACAGCAACAGGTAATGTCCTCTCCCCTGGTCTTTTTGAACTGCACTTCATTTGTCATCTGCATTAAGGGTTTTTTTTTCATTTGAGCTACTTTATCAGCTGATATTTTTTACTTAAAAGCTAGATAAAAGCTAGTCCACTTTGTGAGTTCATGGCCAAGGTGATACTTGAACTCTGTATTTGTCAGCTTCTTTTTAGCCACAAAAGACAAGATAACAGTGTTTCATGGTACTGTTCCCAAGAATGGCTGTGCTTTCTTCAGGCATGTAAACACTGTCCAGCAGACATTCTTTGTGACTCCCCGTAATAGGTGGCCACAAGGGGGCATTCACTGATCAGTGTGTTTACAAATTCTGCCAAGTCAGTATTGACAACCTTGGTGGTTTTACTGCCAGCTATAGCCTCAAACTCACCCCTTCCATATCTTTCCTTGTTTGAGCATTTTAGCTTGTTACCAGGGGTCACTTAAAGCAAATTCTCTCTTTGAAAGTGGCTTTAAGTGTTTGCGCACAGCCTTGCTTGGGATTAGCCAGTTGGTGCTAATCAAGAGCTGCACTGGTTTAAGCCAATTACTCGGGGGTCTTGTCAATTACTTGGGGGTCTTCTGTACCTGAAGGCAAAGCCTTTACAGTAGCAGTGCCTATGAATTGAATCAAAGACCTTAGGAATGTGTAAAAGAAGTTGGCTGTTAGTTGTGATTTATTGTTTAAAGTAAAAATATTGTCATCAAAAGAGAAGATGGGTCTACTGAACAGTCAGTTAAATATTATTTAGTTCTTCTGAATGTTGTGTCTTTGAACTATACTAGGGAGAGGTACACAGAGATTTTAAGCAGAAAATCAAAGTCAGATTTCTGTCACTCGTCTATTACTTTTACTTACACAATTTCCTAATGAAGAAGAGATGGTGTTTTTAAACTGCTTTAATTATTACCAGATATTTCTAAGCAGCATTTCCCTAACATACATGCTTCTGAATGCAGAAGGAGTACTTCCCGCACCCTTTTCTGTAACGATACAAAACATTCCTCTGGGCAATTGCGGTGTGTGTGAGGGAAGGGGAGATTGCCTTGGTCCCATTGTTTTTTCACAATTGTATATTTGCTGCTGCCAAGTTGTGTTTTAGTTTAACTGCCCCCAAAAGGTTGGGATTTGTATATGTGATTTGAATAGGCCTTAAATGTGCAAAAGATCCACTGTATTAGGCCAGGCAGTAGTGACTTACAGGGTTCTCATGGCCATTCTGTTTGATTGTCTGTGGTCCTAGAAAAGCAATGTATTTTGCTGCAAGGGAGACGGGGAGGGTCACAGCAGTCTGTGGGCCAAGGTAGTTGTTTACAGCTCAGATGTGGCTCAGCACTGACACTTCCTGTTCCCCTCCCTCTTGAGTAGGCCTTATGGCAGCCTAGTGTTATACAAACAGAAAGCAGTCAATTTTTGATAGGCTGGTTTGGCCTAACTTTTTTCAGGTGTCTTGATTGCAATTAAAACACTAAGACCTTCCTCCTCATTTTGACTGGGAATCTATTTGTATAACACTAGGGACTTACAAGGGAAGCAGGCACGTGTCCCTCCTAAACAAGTGAATAACCCAGCAGCCTTTGCTTCTGGAAACGTGGGACAGTCCAGCTAGTGAACAAAGCATCCAGCTGAATGGCAGTTACTGGTCTCAATAAAACTACTAGAAACCGCTCTGAGCCTATGGGATACAAATTGAATAAATTGAGCCGTAACTTGATTTTTGTGTGTGTGTATCGCATGGCTTTGCATCATCCTTTAGGCTTTACTGTAAAAACCATAGTGGGAATGATGAAAGAGATGAAGAGGATGAAGAGAGAGAGAGCAAAAGCCGTGAAAAGTCTGTAGCTGACCACAGTGGAGTTCCTCAGCAGCAGCAACTCAATGGAAACTAGGTATGGAAGCTCTCAGCTGACAAGCCCCTCTACCTGAGATGCCACTGTACCACTGACCTAGTTGTTAAGAGTGGTAAGACATTTTAAACTGAGCATAATGCCAATAAATTAGGTGTGTTTTATTTTTAAAAAAACCAACTGGAGTCCTCTTGCACAAGAACTGGGGTTATTTCTGAAATTCAGCCAACTTTGTAAGAAAAAGGCCCTCGCTTCTGCAAATAAACATAGCCGTAATGTCCAATCTGGTAATATGCTTTCCTCTTTTCTTTTTCTGCTATCTTAACATTTACTCTTTTCCCATCGTCTTTTTATTTTTAAACAGGTTCAAGGGACAGAGTAAAACTGGGAATGAATAAAACATCCATAACTGCTAATCTTTTTAGAAAAATGCTTTATAAGGTCAGAGAAGGGTTAGTAAATTTTTTTACCCTGCCCAACTGTTAGAAAATGTCATTGAACTGCCTGAAACGTTCATGTGTGTGAGCCTTCAATCAGCGGCAGAGTTTCTTCATGTCAATATAACGTAGTTAGTTGTCTGCAGTGTCTGGAGAAAAAACCCCTCTGAAATGCTATATAAATGATATGTAATGTGTACAGTGTCAAAGCTGAGGCAGATGTGGAAATAGTAAATTCTCTTTTCTAGACTGAATAAGAAGTTTGGGATATGTAAATTCAGTGGATTTGTGTACCATGGGAAGGTCGTATGTAATTTACAAAGTGGACATGCCTGTGGTGGCAGCAAGTCGGTGAACATGTGCATTTTTGTGTTGACCTTCGCACACAAACCATGGCGATGAGCTAGGAGGGAAAGTACTGTCCCCCCCTCCTTTTTTTGGCAGAAGCACCCAGTCAAGAAAAGAATTCTGCAGCTTCAGAAGTGTGCTCGAACCATTTGCTACAACAATGGGTTCTACCCCTAGCATTCCTGGCTGGAGACCTCTTGAGCAGCTGTTGACTATGAGCTGTGAGCTTCAGTACTCATGCCAAAGGGCTGTAGTTCATTCTCTTGACCGTGACCATCCTCCTTGGCCTCTTCCCTGCTTTACCTAGAACCTGTGACATTTTGCAACTGAAAACGAGAATGGTTATGTCTGGAAGCAGCAACACCCCCTCCCCCTTCACATCACTTCTTAAATTTCAAAGTTACTGCTCAGCTCTCACTATGGAAGTTAGCCACCTTATTGGACATCATACCTCAAGTGCTCTGTGCTGCGTGGAACACATCATGTTTTGTCCCAAATATATACACATACACAGAGAGAGAGAGAGAGAGAGAGATCCTGTATGCCCTAAGAAGAAAGCATAATAAGACTCTGGATTTTCTTTGCTTTTTGGTTTTTACAAACAAAGAGGTCAGTATTTATTTTGAGTCTTGCGACCACTATACAAGAATGTTTTAGTATTTGATTATGGTTTCCCGGCAGATCAAGTTGAATGCTGTTAAAAATCTGAGTGCTCTATTGGAGTCCAATTAGCTTGACATTATGCCAAATCTAAACATACTAGTTATAATGTCATTAAATCCTTACCTCTAGTACTTTCTCCCATTGGTCTTGTAAAAAAACCTATTGTTTTATAAACACAACCAAAAAGTCATACTAGTTAGCAAGCTAGCAAAACTCATTTCAGATTTTATTATCTTTTGAAATCTAAATGTAAGGCAACGCAGCAAACGACAACAGTGACAGTTTGACGGAGAAGTGACAGACGTTCACTTGCAATCAGTACTGTAAAGGTTTTTCATGATATGATCTGTGTTTCCGAAGCCTTGTTTAATTTTGTGGGATTTTTATTTTTAACCTTTTATTGTCCTTTTTTGTAATGCATTTCATTATTGTTTCAAGGGACTCAACTGTTGTATAATAGAACTTCAAAGACTCTCAAGCTGGAATTCAATCCATTTGGTTTGAAAATTTCCTGGAAGAGTTCAGATTTAGCAGAAAAGATGTGTATAAAAATAAATCTGTTAACTGCTCTTATGCCATTGACCAATTTTTTATTTTGTATTGTAATGGTCAAGATTAAAGGCGCAACTTGTACTGAAATAGATTTTTACCAGGGTGTGCGCTCCTTCAAAAGCATGAGGTTTTGGGGTTTTTTAAAAGTCATGTAATTGTTTCAGAATACAAACATCTCTCTTACTATATTAGATCAGTGTTGGTTTTTTATTCTTGTCATGTCACTATTCTGAAGGTTCTGGGCAAGTTGTAACACGTTCAAAATAAACAAGATAAATGCCAACAAAATTCCAAACAATTGAAAAAACCTTGCTTACTGCCAGTATGTTTAAAACTAACTTATTACAGAACTTGTTGACGGTACCAGGGCTCTGAGCCACCAAGATGTTCAGCCTGTACACCCTGGTCATTTGAGTGTAGAAGGTAGACAAGGCTGCCCTGGTTAAGTTCTGTGATCCCTTCAGAAATCAGAAAAAAAGGCTGCAAAACCTCGGTTTTTTCCTTATTTGCCTTCTCTAAAATACAGGCACTTCTTGTTAGCAACCCCTCACCCTCCCTCTCTCTGGTGAAAAGGTGCATAGCCTAGTATGTCTCCCAGTTCAGTCACTGTAATTGTCACTGGCCACTGCTGCATTTGCTAATGAAAGCAACTTGATCTTCTGTCTTGCCATTGGCTACCAAAAGAGCATGTGTTTGGCTCTGTAGGTACCTTGTGTGACATTTTGATGACTCTTGGAAATAGTCTCAAATTGCAGTGCTCTAAAGTTGACCATGGCGTTTGCTGTAAGTGTAACAGTGCAGTCCTAGACAGAGTACCATCCTTTTAAGTCCACTGAAATTAGTGGGCTTAGAAGGGTGTAACTCTTTTTAGGATTGCACTATGTATAAGTCATAACTTGTGTTGGCAGGTGTACTAGTTCCAAGTGCCTTAAGATGTATGAACCCGCATGTTCACGCAGCATCACCCACAGGGCAACCATAGCCATGGGGTTAAGAGTCTCCTGCAGTGTATTTGTTGCTTGGTACAAAGGAAGCTGTCTAAAACTGCATGTAGTTGGTCTGTGTGTGCTATCTTATCTTATAACTTTGTCTTTTTGGTATAGCCCTCCTCCCCCACCAATATATCATGAATTCTTTACTATTTTATTATCTTGACATTAAAATGTAGCATCTAACCTGCTGTCTTGAATTTACTCTTTTTGTTGCTAAAATTAATGGCATTTTTGTACACCAATTCCCCTCTTAAGAATGGGTGTACTTTTTATCTCCACACACAGCTGCTGGATGACCTTGGGCAAGCCATAGCTGTCACAGCTGTTCTTGAAAGAGCAGATAGGACTCTCTCAGTCCCACCTACCTCACAGGGTGTCTGTTGTGGGGAGGGGAAGGGAAAGGAAAGGAGGTTTGTAAGCCGCTCTGAGACTCCAAGTGAAGGGCGGGGTATAAATCCAATCTCCTTCTTCTTCTTCTTCTAAGCATGGAGGGAAATGGAAAGAAAATAGATGTTTTTCCACTTTCAATGTGTCTTTCCCAAGCAAGGCTTCATATAACATGCCTGAAGCTCAAACTATGGAAGTAATTGAAAGGTATGTCTTAACACAGACAGGGAAGGCTTAATTAATCCTGGATATTGCCACAGTACTCATATGGGACAGCAATAGTAGAGGATTATCTTAACTCCACGCCCTTGTAAAATCTAGCCACATTGTCAACCCAAACCAAGGTGTCTAGTCTCATTTTGAAATGCCATCTGTAGCTGTGAAAAGGAGTGTATCTTACTGTTTCACCTTGCTGGCCAAAGACTACAGCAGTACATTTTCAATAAGCGGAGAACAATAAATGGCAACATGCCCGATGATTTTGCTGGGTTAATGAAGACTGATTATCCTTTCTCTGCCATCTTTCATAGTGTCAAATGTAGATCATTTACCTGGTTACATCCCCATTTTCCAAATGAGTGTAAGAGTTTTTCACATGAAGCAGTTCAAACCAGCTTGGAGGACTGAACTTGTTACTGCCTCAGAACTGGAACCACAGCAGAACAGTTCTGGTCATAGCCAATCTTACCCATTGCAGTTGGTGAAAAATGGGGTTCTGTAGCCTGCCTCCAGCGCTCATCAGGCAGGGTTCTGTGCCTGTAAACTCTGTATTCCTCGTAGAGCATGTCCCACATACTGGCTGGCTGTTCCTTTTTCTTTTGGGTGGCTGAGGAAAAAAGTGGGTACTGCTGGGCATTTTGCCCTCAACTGCTTACATACAATTTTTTAAAAAGGAAATCTCACTGTGACAAAACTAGAAAATCTCTCATAGATCACAAGAATCCAAACAATTGAAAGGCTAGCATGCAATCTTGTGGATGCTTGCATCCTTTTTAAAAATCTCCCTTTAATACAAAAAAGATCTATGTATTACGAATCATTATGGCAGCCCTTTCCAACTTCAAATACAAAAAACGTTGGTGGAAAATGATGACTGCATAAAGAAGGTGATCATGTTGATATGTCACCTGAGATAGGTTTTGTTCTTGCTTTGCAGTATTTGTATTGATATTCATGCATACTGATCTTCAATAAATGATTTGTAGCTTTTGTGTGTTCTGTTTTAAAATACCTTAAGGTCACAACATTTACCAATTTATTGTTGCTTCTGATTTTATCCTGTTTTCTTCCGGAGAAAGACTGATCAAAACCTTTTAAGTAGATGATGGATCATTTCAGGTCTTCTGGCTGTTAAGGGGTACAGGACCTTCTTTTGTGTGTGTGAATTATGCAGTATTCATGCATGAGAGGTACTGACTAGTGGAAACAATTTCACATGTATTCATTTAAAAATAGGAAGATTCTGTACCCATAATTTCAATAGGAAATTCTGCCCCCCACCCCTGTGTTGAAGTGTAACGTCAAGCTGAAGTAACTTTCCATCCTGTGATGTTGAACAGGGCTGAGTGTGGAAGATATACTTCTGTCATTTTCCTTCTGCAAGAAATTCCATCTATAATAGAATATTAATTACAGACAACTGATTTTTAAAATAAGCTTCGTTAAAGGCACAGTATTATAATAAGTATTGAATGGCCCTAGCTCCTGAAATCCACTAGTGATTTGAGTGTTTTCTCAGCCTGCATTTCTCCTTTCCTGAGATTTCACTGAGTTTCCCACCACCATTCTGAGGTCTGTTTCTTTTGGGGAGGGAGAGAGGGCTTCAATATAGCACAATGAACAAGAGGAAAGATACAGTGGTTTGCAAATGGAGCTGACACCTGATGAATCTTCTAGTCAAGTGATTGTGGGGGCAGCTTCTTGTGATCTAGGCTAACCCTAGCAGCATAAGAACATCAGAACATAAGAGAAGCCAATGTTGGATCAGGCCAAAGGCCCATCCAGTCCAACACTCTGTCATACAGTGGCCAAAAATACCAAGTGCCATCGGGAGGTCCACCAGTGGGACCAGGACACTAGAAGCCCTCCCACTGTTGACCCCCCAAGCACCAAGAACACAGAGCATCACCAGCCCCAGAGTCCCTATCCATACCTTGTGGCTAATAGCCACTGGTGGACCTCTGCTCCATATATTTATCTAATTCCCTCTTGAACCCATCCATGCTTGTAGCCGCCACCACCACCTCCTGTGGCAGTGAATTCCATGTGTTAATCATTCTTTGGGTAAAGAAGTACTTCCTTTTATCCATTCTAATCTGACCGCTCAGCCATTTCATTGAGTGCTCACAAGTTCTTGTATTGTGAGAAAGGGAGAAAAGTACTTCTTTCTCTACCTGCTCTATCCCATGCATAATCTTATAAACCTTGATCATGTCCCCCCCTCAGCCGTTGTTTCTCCAAGCTAAAGAGCCCCAAGTGCTTTAACCTTTCTTTATTGGGAAAATGTTCTAACTCTTTTATCATTCTAGTTGCCCTTTTCTGCACTTTTTCCAATGCTATAGTATCCTTTTTAAGGTGTGATAACAGAACTGTTCACACTATTCCAAATGAGGCCGCACCATTGATTTATATAGGGGCATTATGATATTGGCTGATCTGTTTTCAATTCCCTTCCTAATAATCCCCAGCATAGCATCTGGCTTTGTGCTGTGGTAACGTACTCTGTCTCACAGTGCATACAGTGATAAAGGTTGTGGTCTCTTAAGACAGCAGCCGTGATTAGCTGAAGTAACATGTGACTAATTTTTGCCTGCCCTAACAAGCTTTGGAATTTATTTCTGACCATCAGTCCTCAATGCACTAAATCAAACTGCTTTCAGGACACCTCTTATATAATACTGGAGTTTGTATTTTCTGAAAACCATGCCTGAAGCTGCTTTGTTCAATTGTGCCCAATATTTTAATTGTAGTTTAACATTTAGAGCTAACATAAATGGGGTATTTTTAAAATAAATTAGCCATTGGGTTTTTTCCCCAGTCATGCAAGCGTGTTGTAGTGACTAATGTGACAACATAAGGTCAAGGAGACCTATGTTCAGACCCCCAATCTGACACTTGATGGGTGATCTTGGATCACTCAGTCTAATCTGCTTTGCAGGCTTGCTGAGAGGATAAGATGCAGAAGGGAGGACTTTCTTGGAAGAAATGTGGGATAAAAACACTAGATACACAGTTCTAACTTTTAAAAAGTATTGTCTACATACAGTTAAAATTTCTACATCTTAAATTTGCTTGTGCAATGTTGCTGTCCTTTTATTGCTACTATGAAAACTTTTATCTGTGAAAACAACTGCTTTCGAAGTTCTAATCAACCCAGTCTTTAATATCTCATGCATCGTAATCCATGGAGTGGCTGTCTTCACACATCCCTCCCCCAGAGAATGTAAGAGGGATAATCAGATCATTACCAGACATATTCTCTTTTCTCCCGCCTCCCAGATAATCTAATTACTTTATTACTGTGATTATTATGCAAAGGCTGCTTTAAATTGTGTTTTGTGTTCTTCAGAAAACTCAATAACAGGCCTTACTGCCTATATAAAAATTCTTACTTTTACAGTCTTTCATTCTTTGTAGAGCAGAGATGGGCAAATTACGGGCTGGGGCCCACATCCAGTCTGCAGGAGTTTTCCTTCATCTTTCAAGCACTGTAACAATTTGTTGGGGACAGTGGCCTGGCAAACTGTAGCAGCAGCTAGTTCATGGGCAGATGCTCCTCTCCAAATTATTGGAGACAATTTGAGGCCTAAGTGCCATTAAGATTAGGAGAGGTCCACAACTGGGTTTCCCCTGCTATCGAGGGCTCTGTACTAAATATCTGTTCTTGCACCTAGTGCTGAAAAATTTGCCTGTCCCTGTCTCACATCATAGGTGGCAGTGGTGTTCAGGGTGACAGATAACTACTTGATCCTTCCTGTTTCCTTCCCACCCCCAGCAAGAAGCTAAAGTATAATTGTAGTTACTGTGTGAGCAAATAGACTGGGTTCTCCTGCCTTAGTCATGCACAATGGAAACAGTATCTGCTTCCTGTTCTTTCTGCTTTGCCCCACCCTTTATGATTTTTCCAGGTAATGCTCAAAAACACCCAGTTGGCTCTTCCTCTTGGCTCCCTTCTTGTGCACACTGTAAATATTAAACTGTCAGTTACCATGTTCCAAGGCAATAGCCTGAAGTTTGAAACCTGTTTTTAAACAGCACAACATTACTTCTTGATTTTGCTTGATTTTGCATCTGTATTTGAATTCTTTCTATGGGCTGGTCAGTCACAACAGCATATGTGTCAGTATGATTTCAACACAAGAATGAGTCCCATAGCTCATGAAGTCCAGAAATAACAACCCAACAGGTAATAATTATCATATGTCAGTGTGTGTAATATAGCCAGGAGATCCTAAGGCAGCCAGAAGTTCTAGCTCTTTTAGAGTTATATACCACTAGGTGGCAAGCTAAACTTTGTTTTTTAGGCAAGAGACTTTTCAGAGGTGGTTTGCCATTGCTTGCCTTTGTGTCATGCCCCTGGTATTCCTTGGAGGTTGCCCTTCCAAATACTAGCCAAAGCTTAGCTTCTGAGATCTGAGAAGATCGGGCTATCCAGGCCAGGGCAACCCAACAGGTTAATCTCTGAAACACTTTGGGATTCTCTTTCTTACACAGACTGCTGGAAGAAACTAGTCTGTGCCACAGAACCATAGATAACATGTCTGGAATATATTGTCTGAAATACATTTACACCA